AGAAGCAATTCGTGTATACGTGCTTGTACAATATTTCTATGTTTGTTTCAAACTTACACGGCGAATGATGATATACCACTCGATTGATCGGCACGTCCATGTTGCCGATCAAACCAACCACTATCTTCTCGACAAAATCTCGAAACGTTTCCATCGTGTTCGCCTCTTCTTTCTCCGCGGCCAAATCTTGTCCCGAACTGGTAGCTGCATTTTCCACTCCTGCAAGAAAGGTTCAAACGTTACTTCAATATTATCATTTAAAATTATTTATTTATAAATTTAACCGAACAGTGGAATTAAATTCATATATTTGATCGTTTTCTTCGTTAAATATTTTCGTGTTATAAGAACATTCTCATAAATTCATTAATTATATTCCATTTTTTCCATTTCTCTCATCGTCTTCATCACGCTTTAATGATTTCGATAGGAAGCGGAAACGAGATAAATCGAGTCGATATTATTTGCCTTTAATTAATCACGCTACTTCTAATTCTTCTCTTTGAATCTCTTTATACATCTCGAAAGAGAAGAATAACTCGTTGCTGGCGATGAACAGCTGTCTCTGCGATTTCATTTTAAAGTGGGTCAACGAGCATAAGTCTGACATCGTTAACATTACTTTTACCTTATCATGAATATTCTATTGCAAGATAAAAAAAAAAAAGACCTTCGATTTTTAAATCTTTCTATCAATTTTCATAGAGATACGAAAACCATTAACGATTTTCAATAGATGAATAGATGATCGAGAATTTATCAAAGAAAAAAAAATTCTACAAACGATAAGATATCCCGATAAAATGCGTGAAAAATTCCATTTGAAAGGAAATCAAAATTACGAAGAAATCTCAATATGAATTCAAGTCACACTCCTTGCATTTAAATTAAAAAAAATAACAAAAATATTCCAAAGGCAATTCTAACGAATTATTTTTCCATCGCACGTGAAAACTTTCTACAATTTTTTTTAACGATACATTTATTACAAGAAAAATAAATTCAACTTTAAAAATAAACCTCAACGAATAAAGAAATAGCAGATAGATCCAAATTTATCGTATAACCAAACGAGGAAAAATCGTCAAGTTTAATCGAGATTAATTAAAAAAACTACGAAAAAATTTTATTAAAAAAAAAAAAAAAAAGATTCCTCCACGAACAACTTACT